CATCTCCAAAGTCCATGATAACAAGAAAAAAGATTGATATATATTTTCTATATGCATATTTTTACCTCGTAGTCGACATGCCAAACCATCGATTTCGAGGAATGAGTAAACAAGCAAGTGAAGGAGACGAGCTAATTAATATACGAAAAAGAATAGAGACAGAGAAAGGGTGGATAAAGGTGTGTATATTTACGTGTTAAGAGTATACGATCTCAGAAGAGTGAATTGCAGGATAGTCTACCCTTTTGACATGCAAGGGTAAGTGTATGTGTGTGCGCGCGCGCGTGTGTGAAGAGAACGTGAGGTGGAAGACTTTTGAAGTGTGCAAGTGAGGACAGAATAAGAAAGGTGTCGTGAAGGTGAGAAAGCGGTGGGGAAAGGCGTTAAATGATGTGTGTGGGGAAGGAGGAAGAGGAGAGAGAGAGAGAGAGAGAGGAGAGAGAGAGAGAGAGAGAGAGAGAGAGAGAGAGAGAGAGAGAGAGAGAGAGAGAGATAAGATAGAGAGAAGAGAGAGAGAGAGAGAGGAGAGAGAGAGAGAGAGAGAAGAGGAGAGAGAGAGAGAGAGAGAGAGAGAGAGAGAGACGAGAGAGAGGAGAGATCTTTGAGAGAGAGAGAGAGAGAGAGAGAGAGAGAGAGAGAGAGAGAGAGAGAGAGAGAGAGAGAGAGGAGAGAGAGAGAGAGAGAGAGCACGAGAGCGAAGAGAGAAAAGAAAGAAACTGAGAGAAAGATGGAACGAAAGTAAGAGAGTGGACGAGTGGAAGAAAGAAAGAAAAGAGAGACCGTGAACAAGAAAGAAAGAAAACAAGAGAAAGATATATCCAAGAATAAGAAAGAAAGAGAAAACAAGAGAAAGGAGAAAAAGAAAAAAAGGAAAGAGCCACAAAAAAGAACAAAACAAGAGAAAAAAAATAACAACAAAGGATCATGTCGGCATGAGCATCGAATCCCCAAAAAAAAAATGGTTGCAGGCTGTTGCTAGAGGTTGCAGCTTGCAGGCTTGCGGGCTTGCGGGCGGCGGGCGGGCGGGCGGTAGGGAGGGAAGAGAGAGGGCGACGGCCGTGCAAGCGGAACCTACCCCCGGGCGAGGCAGAGACATGTAAACTTGCTTCTCTGGCGGCTTGCTCTCGGCAGCTATCTGGTCGCCAATGTCCTTGGTCAGACTCTTCACATCTCCCACCAAATTGAGCCACATGTCAGCAAACACTGATGCATGACAAGAGCAGAGAGAAGAGGAGAGAGAGAGAAAAAAAGAGAAATAATAAGAGTAATAATAATAATATTGGTAATTGTTTGTAATTGATTTAAAAAAGGAGGTATATGGTTTGATTAGATTTTTTTTTTTGAAGAGGGGTTATTTATCGTATTTTTTTTAAGGGGGGGATTGTCGTAAGCGGAGTGTGTAAAAATAAGAATGGATGAGTGAGAGAGGGAGAATGAGAGCGTGAGAGAGAGAGAGAGAGAGAGAAGAAGAATGCCCTTCATTATGAGACTGTCCACCTCAGGGCATGATGCACAGTAATGCAATAGAAATAAAATAAATTGACATGAACTAAGTACGTCTCATCATCAATCATCAATCATCAATCATCATCATCATAATCAATGCCTCATGAGCAGGAATTTTTATTCAAAAGAGCCAAAAAAGGGAGGAAAAAAACCAAGAACTAGTTGCAGCGTCCTCAACGCGTTTGCCAAACTAGTGTCTCTTTCGGCCGACAGAGGGCCTTACCTTCGACGTTCTCCTTGGCGATCTTGGACGTCGGGTACAGGCACAGTGTCTGGGCCGCCGTCACCACCTGAGGGCCGTAGATGCGCAGGTTGATCTCGCCGTATTTCGCGGCCACTTGCAGCGAGTCCGTCGTGGCTATGTGGCGCAGGAGTTTGCAGACCTTGGGGTAGGGGGGGGTAGGGAGTGCGAGAAAAGATAGGGTTATTTATTCTATTGATTTATTTACTTGTTTTCTTTTCTTTTGTGTGTTATGGTGTTGTTTGCCGAACTGAAAGATGGGTCTTTGTTTTGTTCGAGATTTTTCTGCAGAACGGGAAGGGAAGGTGAAGAAAGGGAGGGATATTTGTGTTACAATAAATACTTTCACTATAAATAGGGTGATTTCTCTTTACGTGTATTATAGTAAAGATATTTCTGCAGGAAGGAAGGAAGGAGTTAAAAGGGAGATGAAATGTTAAATTAAAAACCTAATTTGCAAATCTTGAAAAAAAGTATTTTTGTTACATTTGCACACCTGAAAGGGGTGGGAGGGGGGGGGCGAAAGATAGAATCTGGTTATATTTAAGATCCCTTTTGTGAGTGTATGTCTGTGTGCATGTATGTGTACGTACGTACGTGTGTGTGTATTTATGCCACACACATATATACAGAGAGAGAGAGAGAGAGAGAGAGAGAGAGAGAGAGAGAGAGAGAGAGAGAGGAGAGAGAGAGAGAGATGAGAGAGAGAGAGAGAGGAGAGATCCAGCAGTGCGACACATGCATCCCACCCAT